GGAGTCTATATGAAATACGTTTAATATATTCTAATTAACGATATTCTATTCTAAATTTTATTGGGTCACCGAAATGGGATTGCGTGGGAAAGTTGTATTTAATTATTGTGACTGTTTTGGAAGACTTCAGTAGCAATTGGCTATCGATCACGAAGACTCGATGACATGTATTATATATTCGTTTATTTTGTATTATGAAGTGCTAATGTAAAATAATATAAAGAAGTTAGTAATATTTGAACGTTATATATTATATTTTTATTTATTTGTTTTATTTAGTTTTTGTACTTTGTGTAACTGTTACAATAAATATTACTTTTGATTCAATTTATTAGACTTTAAGGTTCTTTAATATTTATTTATTATTATAACCAATTTTTTTTTTCATGATGAACAGTGGGAATTGAAAGCTACTGATTTAGAAAAAGTGAATGATGAAACTACCGAATCTACACAAAAGAATATCAGGGGTTCCCAAACATTATTCAACATCGACCCACTTGAAAAAAAGTTTTTCATCAACCCCTAAATTTTGTATATTGTAATGCATAAATATTGCAAATAATCAAGTTGCTGTTGGTATTAAATCATTTTATAACTTTGTTTTACTTATATATTATAATTATATTAAAAATCACTTTTAATATAATCAAAAGGGTAGAAAGACCTATGGTCAATAGCTCATTGAATCAGTTGACCTTCATTTTGATTTGTAATTTTTATATTATTGTATTGGGTTGTTTTATTTTGTAATTTTACTGTTTCCGAATAAGATTCAGGGCGCCACTTCCTTTTATTGAGAAGAAGAACACTAACTGTGCAGAGTATTAAATTACTAAAGTAACTAATCTAAAATTAAAAAGAATATACAGGTAACAAAATGGCTACAAAAGCCATCGCAAATCGAATCTGCGTAAAATGAACTCATATTTACAGTGAGATAACTATTTCACAGCGGCGTTATTGTTAATCGGCGCAAAACGGCGTTTACGAGTATAGGAAAGATGTCTATCTTATCAGTAGCTCTTTAAAACAGTAAATTATTTTATTATGATTTTATTTTAACATATTTATAGGTCATAATATAACACAAGTTTGCTCAGTTGGCGTTAATACATTTGTTTCTGAAACAACAAAAATTGTTTCTCAAGTTGTTAAAATCTAACAATATTTCATGTCAAATTTTAATAAGATCAGTAAGAATGGATAGGAGAAAATGCAAAATTAGTGATGTAATGTTTGTAGAAATTTCACCGCCAACACTGCATTCTAAGAATGCCAAAATGCATATGGAGTGAATGCATCATCCCTTATGACCATTTCCAAGTGGTTACGAAGATTTAAACTGTTGAGGTTGAATCTCGTGATGGTCGCCCGAAATCTTTCACTGACGACACAAATATAGCCGTGGTGAAGGCAAAAATTGACGAAGATCCAAGAATGACATGAATGGTACTTGATGAACTGGGCATGAATGCCATGGCTGTGTTGAGAATATTAAGTCATCACTTGGGCTACACGAAGAAATCCGATGGGTTCCACGAATTTTAAATGACGACCGAATAAGGGCACCCGTTCGTTTTGCCCAACATTTCTTACAAAAATTTGAAAATAGAGAGTCTAGCACCTTTAGGAATAGTAACTGGTAACTGGTGATGAATCATGGTACGATCCGGAAATCAAACAGCAGTCCATGGTATGGAGCGCAGTAGGTGCAAATCCCGCAGTTAAATCAAGAACACAAAAATCATCAACAAAGGTGATGGTGTCAATTTACTTTACCAGGGCAAAAGCGGTAGCTGCTATCCCACATAAAACTGTCCAGACGGTAACTGCTAAGTGGTATACAGAAACTTGCTTACTACAAGTTTTCAAAAATTTGTTGGGAAACCAGAAAAAGAGGAACTTCGTCGCTACTTTTTGCACGCTCACACTTCTGAAAAAAACTTTCTTGCGCTCTCTGGCATCAATGAAATTTGCCCAGCACCTTACTCTCCTGACTTAGAGCCGTGTTATTTCTGGCTATTTCCGAAAATTAAAAAAAAAATGAGGGGAAGAGTCTTCAGTTTGAATGAGGAGATCATTAATGCAGTTAATGTCGAACTTAAAAAGCTCCAAAAAGCCGATTTTGAGGAATGTTTTGAAAGGTGGCTCTACCGAATTAATTCAGAATAGAAATTCTTTAAGTTTTATTTATAGTATTTTTGAGCTTATTTTCATCTCGGGATAAAACTTATATTAGAATCAATAAAATTGTATCTTTGAAAGATAGAAATACTCACAATGAAGTCGTTACTTCTAAGATTATTATTATTGTTATTAAGAGGCATTTTAATGGCTGGAACATATATATAATCAATGCGATGCAAGAACAGGCTAGTTTTGTACGTAGGTAAGAGCGGATCGCTTTTTACTTTCGTTTACCTTGTGTCGTTCCGAACCGTCGGCCCGATTTAGTTGGCATAGATTCGCGAATCTTCTTTGATATCAAAACCAATCACTTTTCATCTTTTCTAATACTCAATAACTGCAATAACAAGACCTTCAAGGCCCTAAGCAATGCGGATGATCAATTCCCTTGGATTCTTCACGCCATCCACTAATTCGATAATGAATAGCATCTTGACATTATTCTTGTTTGCCCAGAGTGCGCAAACAATTGCCTGGAGAAGATAGGTAGCGGATTATTTAATTACTGTTTTGCCATGAATTATTACAGCTTCTGCCGAGAATGGAATGCGAGGATACCGACAGTTCGTAATAATAGTCAGGAAAGCCGTCTCCAATCGAAAGATGCCTTATTGTTATTGAAATATTTAGACAATACGTTATAATAATTATTCTATAGGTCAATTGAACCTTAAAAATCAATGTTTTTTTGTAATTATTTAATAAATTATTAGAATGATTATTATTTTTTGTATTGATATTTGCATTTATTTATTTTAATGTTACATTAAGGACCTTTATAGAAATGGCGTCATCGTGAATGCGAGTAAAAGCAAATTCCTCCTACGCAACTGTAATCTAGATCATTGTCTCTAGATAAAGAAGATTGCTTAAGCATAAGAAGAACGGGCGATCCCCTTCCAATGTGGGCAACCTGTTGTAGAATGCATAGGCAGATGCAACGGTGATCTCTTAAGCATGTGCACTTCGTGTCCAGTTTGAAATCGCATTCAAATGAGTGTCTCAATTATTCCAAATAATTCGGTGAGCAAACAACCATACCGTTCTAATCATTTGCAACAAAGACATACCACCGCATTATCACTCTCACCCATAATCTCATAAAGGTATTTAAAAACGCTTCACACTTCTTAACACGATCACAAAAATACTTTCACTTCTGCATTAAGATTACAGTTTATGCCGTTTATTTTTCGCTTTTGCTTTTTTGTTACTTTTTTCGGTTTTGTTTATTTTTTGAATGATAATTTCATTGGTGGAAATGGGTCGTTCAAACAGTGTTTTCGTTCCATTCGTGCCCATCCGTGTCAATGTCGTCATTCGATTAACTCAGTTGGTGAACACGTTTCTTCGTCAAACAAGTAATCATCATCAACGACAATAGTATTTATCTTTCCTGGAGCTAAAAACAAAATCATATTTTTTTTTAATCTCATGCAGGTTTCCGTATTTGCTGGAACGTTTACTTTCAGTGAACGTTGCGCATCGCGCATTCTCTCCTCTACTCGATTACATTTTGCTGTGCTCCAAATTCGTGACTAGTATTTCAAAATGCCCTCGCTTACAAATGCAAAATCTGTAATAAGCGAATGTTTTTGTACAAACATACACATATACAGAGAGGTTTCCGAGAATTTGCCGTTGTCGTTTTGCTCAATCAATTACAAAATTATAATCTGCTGCTACCTTTAACCATAACTTATAGATTTTAACTATAACTGTATCACGGATTCGACCGAATGTTTCATAATAACAATACTTTTTATTATTTAGCATTAAACCTTTGTTCATTCCATCCGTGCATATAATTGACATTATATCCAAGAATTTGTTATGTTTAAAGGAATGTAAGGTGAAGAATACTGTGAAGATTGTTGTTTACTTCTAAGTTATTCATATTACTCTCTTACCTTTCTTAACTTATCTCAAATAACGTTAATTTAATATAAATAAACATTATCATGACAAAATAATAATTTGACTAATCATTCTGTACAGTAAACTATTATTTATTCTTTGGAAGTTAGGAAATTTGGTAATTATAACGAATAATTTATTGTGCAATACGACAATGCATGATCGCATATATATATGTATTATTTGAGGCAGCGGTCGAAATAACATTATTAAGAGTTTATTGGGGCTCAATTGACACTAATGAGAATCAAATTTTCTATTTGGCAGACCTATTTTCTAATTTTACTGACATAAAGACTCGTCCAGGTGTTACGTAATACCCCAATAAAAATACAAGATCTAATCTAATACATCAAAAATAAACAAATTTATTAAATTAGTAACCTTTAAAAATCTACACATTTTTTTTGCAGTATATTTTTTTAAGAATATATTTCGTTCTATATTTACATCATTATTAAATAGATTATGCTTTTGCTAGTTTCTAGTTAGATTTATGGCTATAATTTATTTAAAAAAAAATGTACTTGATGTACTTTGTAGAATTTATAATATTACTGAAATATAATTAATTATATTCAATGTAAATCAAATAAATGAAATTGATATACTACAGTTAATTTTTATTACATCTATACATTTTTAGTTATGTTGATATTAATATATTTATTATATGATTATACAAATCCTACTTATATTTATTGTATTTTAGTTTCAAAACTTTAAACAAAATCAATGTTAATATATCAATAACAAGACTTAATTAACAGATTAATATAAGGTAAAAATATGAATAAACATTTATTTGGTTATATTTATATATATACGAATTGATATTTTTGACAATAAATGTAAATAATATATTATTTTATTTCCAAATTTAATAGCAAAACAACTCTTGGACAAAGTAGTATTGTGTAGGAAAATATAATTTCTTGCTTATAAGCAATAAAAAATACTGGTGTTGGTAAGCAGTCTATAGAAGTAAATATGATAGTAAGTAAAAGAATTAATGTTATTGTAAAATTGCATCATACACTAATGAGTATATAAATACATGTTATTCTTGTGTTGTTTGCAGATTCTACTACTCACGATAATATCAGGTCTTTTTTGCACAGTTTGGGTCGTGGCAGTAAATGAGGTTGAGTATACTAGATATGTTTCATAATAAATTTCGTAATTGGTTTCCGTTTACTTAGGTATCGTATTCATTCAAATATTCTGTGGACGAACCGAAACTAGGCATAGTGACCCATCATTGGGAGGAAAGAAATGGTGGAAAAGTACGTGGAGGCTACAGCCTCTTAGAACCAAATGGAAAAGTCCGGGTGGTTGAATACCAAGTAGACGGAAACAAAGGATTCAAAGCATTCGTGACATTTAGAAGACCTCCAGGTACGATAATCCTTCCTGAAACATACAAACACACATTAAGCGACTGTCCCCGATTTGGATTCGACGTTTGCCAACGATTCATTACGGCAAAACCGCAGATAAAGTTGGGAAACGAATGATTTTCCTAAGAACTTGAAATTAAAAATAACAACGTATCGGATTTCTAAGAAAAACTTCTCTTAAAATGATTGACATTGGTTTCACGTAAGCGTAAGAGCGTGGTGTCGTGTAACGAAATTAGCGCGATTTTGAATGCGACACGCAATACGTTGAAAAGGTCACTAGTTCACATTTGGGTGTCTGCTCTCTTGTCCGGTCCCGCCAACATAACAATTTGGGCGTACCGATGAATACGACCTAACCTAACCTTGGTACACATAAGCCAACTTGAATCGATAAATTAATTGAAGCAATAAAAAAGAGGTTCTACTTGAGACACCTCTTGTTTATTTATCGTTTAGATGTCCTCTGATTGAACGTTAAATGATGCAACCGATTATTGTTTAGGTCAGTTCGTTGGACATCTGAAGTTTCCAAACCAATACCAAACACCGATTCGCCTGGCGGAGCCCGTGGGCCTCATAACACCCGACCTTTTGGTGGCAAAGAAAACCTACCCGAATTTACCGTAACCACTAACATTTATTCTAAATTGCTTAAAAAGTACAAAAACATGGTATGCAAATTCAATTACGACGTACGTGAAGAACGATATTCTATAATTCCCTGTAATTGGCGACGATGGAAGCTTGGGGCGCTTCGAAAGAACCAATAAAATGTTTTTTTGATTGATGGTTTAATATTCTCGAGCAGTCTTATTTTCCCCCCTTTGTGGAATTAATTCACCCGCCCGCAGAAATGAAGTATAATTTATGTACATTTTCAAGGGTTTGTCAATATGATATACAAGTAAAGGTCAGTCATTCGTGGCGATCGGTCCACATTAAATTAAATGTCAAAACAATTAAATTTTTGGCGGGCAATATTAATAACAATAAACCTGTTTTTCGTAATACAATGCACCGATTTTAACATTCGATTTTTGTAATCAACTTATTATATCGTTTCCATGCTGCATTTGCATATTATACGGTTCACTTCTCATATTGCAATTTATTGGCGACATTTAGTAAACAGCAGCAGCAGAAAAAAAAATATATATAAACAGGTAATTAAATCGATGTGGATTTTGAAATGATCTAAATGTCAATTGCAAAAAAAAATAACATAACAAATGTGGAACAAATTACATTTTAAATTTATAATAACAACAATGTACTTGATATAAAAACATATTTCAAACATTCTTTTTTAAATTAAAAATTAAAAAATAAATGAGAAAGTTAATTTTATAATTAATTTACAAAATTTATTAGTCCTATCGACTTTCAAAATATTTGTTTAATCATCTTATTTTATAATATAGAATAGTAAAACCATTTATCATTATTTAAGCTAAGAATCTCTTCCAAATTTATACTTCACAGATCCACCTCAGAATTATTTTTTACATATTGATTACAAATTTTTATATAAACTTATGAGTTTTCAAACAAAAAATATAATTGTAAATAAAAAAAAATACTTTGTTGTTATGATTCTACGCTTTATGTAACGATATGTTGTTGTTGGAATATTTTGAATCGAATATAAATTACATTTTTTTTGCTATTGGCTACAAAGATTAAAACCTTGATATTGTTCATTCAACTAGCATCCGGCGTTTAAAGGATAACAGGAGGTCGAAAAGATGATCAATTTTGGAGCATGGAAATTTTAATTTTATTCATTTGAAAACAACAATAACAATAATATATGGTAATTCAAATAATATGCATAATACGTTGTGAAAGTACAGGAAAAATACAATTATTTTATTTTGAGGAACTCATTTATCACATCAATAAATTCTGAACACATCAATCAGTCATAAATGAGCGATTATTTATCCAGTTGACAGATATAATAGCATTGTATAATTTATGCCCACTTGATTTTCCGTATTTTATATTTGACTTAGCAATATAATTACAATTTAAATCAATCATCGAAATTTAATTTTTACAAGGTTTTACTTTGTATTTATAAGTTTATCTCTTATCGATATACAAAAAAATAATATATAACTTATGCTTTTATAATAATAGAGATTGAAATCATATGAAATTTTCCATCAAGTTTTTGAAGAAAAAAAAAATAGAATTTTTATAGAATTATATTATAACTAAATTAACCAAGTAATTAAAATTTCAATGTTTAAAGATTATGTATAAAATATCTAGTTAAGAACTTTTATAAGTGTTTTTTTGTTAATTTTCTGTATCATTCACTCAAAGCACGTGATTACCATTAATTATACTTGGAGTTAATTACTCGAGTAATTGCTAACCTTAATTAAGATTCCGGTTGTACGTTAATCTTAGACGATACTTAAAGGAAAATGTTGAAAGTAATACGACTCTAAATGTAGGCCTGAATTAGCATCTGTATAGTTAGTAAAAGTCGTTTAATTAAATTTAAAAAGCTCCCTAAATGTGTTGAAATCCACAAAAAAACACAAGTTACCATTGATAAATGCTTACTTATTCAACCGATTTTTTTATAATATTCATTTAATGCATACAAAAATATAAATTTCATTATTATTTCCTGAATGAATTAAAAATATAAACATGATATTATTTCCTATTACACATATTGTTTTTCTTATATCTCTTGTATTTGTATAATTTATATCTTTTAAAATATTTATAACAATACCAAACTATGTTTTCTGTTTTGCATTTTGTATAATTTGTAGTTGTAAAAAAAAATGTTGTATAAATATCTTTGGACAATATACCAATCAATTTGGTCAATGCACCTAAACACGACTTGAGGTTTTGCTAAGTTAACTGACCTTTTAATAATATATAAAACAGTGTTGTAATTGCTTAACGTGGGTGAAATAATATGTAGAAGATCGGACCTAAAATACAGATTTCATGATTTTGAATCTATTTTCTTTGAAGAATAATCAATTATGTACGGAAAGGAACTAATCGGCACTTATATCAAATAATTATACGGTGCGCGTGTTTTCAATTTTTTTTGTAGCTGTGAAACATTTTGCAATAAGTAAATTGATGATACCTATTGAGATATTTATGTATTTGGAGTCGTGCGTTTTTATGCTTGGTGAAATGTGCTTGCTAACACGTAATTACAAAATTATAGGTAATATTCGATAACATATGAGCCAAGATTTAGTACATATACGACGATCAGAGATGTATGATTTATAGCCACAGAATCACTGGGATTCGTGCGAATTTTATTAAATTTGAATATCAAACTTTCTAACGACATATATTCAGCAAGTGAAAAATATTGGCAAGTTCTTGTCCAATCTCTTTTATCCATCTGCTATAAACTTTCAATAATAACAAAAAAACAATTCGCTATTAATTTGAATTCATATATAAGTTTTCAATTTATGTATGTAGCGCCATCTGTTGATCAATTCGTGTATCAGTTCACTTTTGAAGAAAAGTACTCTATAGAATGAAAGTACAGGGATCTATATTTGTTAATTGTACATAAGCGTCAATATAAAAATATGAAGAGTTACAACAGACGAAAAAAAACAGAATATTTTATGAAGAAAATTAAAACATTATACAGTCATGCCTCAGTTAACATTACCTCTTTACAATGATGTTTCACTATAACGAAGTCCGTAATGTATAAATGAAGCGGTGGCAATTATTTATTGTTATTCTTGCGATATAGACCCAAATGAAGATGTACTAGAAGAAGGGGTCTATATCGCAAGCCCGATAACCGAAAGACCGTCTATTGAAAGCCCGACGTTCGAAATCCCGAGTGTATCGAAATCCCGACTACCATAATCCCGACTGTATCAAAATCCCGAATATATCGAAATCCCGACTACCATAATCCCGACAATCGAAATCCCGACAATGTCTTTTATTATTATAATTTCTACAATAACATTTTTAAATTATTCTACTATATTTCAATAGGTACGACGGATACTGAAAAAAATACTTTTAAGACCTAGGTCGATGGCTTTTTTGCCCGATTATTAATTCTTGTTATTTATTTTTAATAACAATAAATAATAATTATTATTATTGTATTTTTTTTTTCGTTGACTTATTCATTATAAATCTTAAGAATAAGAAATATTCTATAATATAATTATAGAAGTTCCTGTTAACAAATTCTAAATATTGAAAACGTTATTATATCAATCTGAATTTCGAATTTTCACTTCAGTTGCGGCACTTCAAATTTGTATCCCCACTACAAGATATTATTCGGGCCCGTAAATTGCTCAAGATTTCTTTTAAGTAGCAAGGTACTCCGACAAATTTGATTATATTTTAAAACACCTACTTTTATAAAATATAAAAGAAATTATTGAACAAATATCAGTTAAAAATTTGAATCAACTTTTACACTTTTGAAATTAAAGTTGCAGTAAGCAAAAAGGCTACGTAAGCAGTTCACGACATTTGTATGCTCTATAGCTTAGAGCAGTGGTTCCAAACCTTCGGTCCACAAACCGGTATCGGTCTGTGGATTAGATGGCACCGAACCGCCCAAGGAACATTAAATTATTTTCATTTTATTTTAGCTCACTAGAATCTAGGGAGTTAAATGTTAAATCACTTTATATTAATTTTTGGTGTAACTGTCCTCAGTGGACTGCGGTAAAATTATCAAACGTTGACCGGTCCGCGGCGATAAAAAGGTTGGGGATAACTGGCTTAGAGGACACCGTAAAGGTGTAATCTTCTGGAAAACACTGGAGAAGAACAGGTCTGTCGACAAGAAATGCTATCTCGCGTGAACGAAGCAATTCTGCAGAAAAGGGCCAATCTACGTGGTCAAGTCATCTTTCTTCACAAAAATTGTAAACATTGTCAAGGAGGCTCTGAATAATCTCGAATGGATGTTCTACAGCATCATACTCTCCGGACCTTACGTCAACGGATTATCATCTTTTCCGTTCCATGTCGAATCATACAAAGTGCGTTATTTTCACCAACGATGAAGACTGAATTGAAGGAGATAGGTTTGTAGAGCAAGAAAAATACTTGCGAATTGTTATATATACTTTACCTAACAATAGACACATTTTCAGGGAAAAATTAAATAAAAAAAAAACGCGGGAACCTATTACACAACCCAATATATTATAATAATGGTTGAACACAATAAATTTGTATTTGTTTATCTTATGTTACTGTTATAATAAATATTATTATTATACGTTTAAGATATTTCTTAAAATGTTTACAATCATATAAAAAAAATGTTATTATTAATTTATTATTAAATAAATTAATATTTTAACTGCTTTTTATATAATGTTTATTATTTAGATTTTTCTTTTAAATACAGTGTAACCTCGCATAGCGAGTTTAATCCGTTCCAAAATTTCCGGATTTTTACTCGTATAATGAAATACGTTTTCCCATATAAACCAATGTAAATTCCGTTAATCCGTTCCATGCCGGAGAAAAAAAAGTATAACTTACTCTCGATTTTTCATGATCTTGCTTTTCATATCTATGGTTATTTTTAATCTTTAGCTTTTTATTCGGAGACATGACAGTGTTATTAAATTTTACACAAAAAAAAAACACAAATAATATGTCTGAACACAAGTTTGAAAATTTTGTAATCACAAACAACACTAAGATACAACTAGTATCCGCTTTAAACAAAGTTGACAAAGAAAATCGAAGATGGTTAATATATTCAAAAATACACAAAATATGTGTAAACGAGTTTTGAAATGATGTGGTAAGCGCACAATCCGGGACTTCTCTTCTCATTATCACTCGTTATGCGAAACGTTACTCGTTGCTCATTTTTTGTACAATTCATTTTGCTCGTTAAGCAAGGTTCCACTGTATATTATACAAAATAATTATGGCTCTCTCTTTTATCTATAATAAAAAAAGATTTAACGTCATGAGAAGCCCCAAGCGTAATTCTAGTTTAAGGCTCATATGTATACTTAAATTATAATTCAAATATTTATTTGTGGGACTTGTGCAATTATGGGCAGACTGCAAGTTCTTGAAGGGTGGTATTAAATTTGTCGTGGAACCATTTTAAAATTTGAGGCTTTCTTAATTAAAATTTGACACTGACAATGTTTATGATTTATTTTCTATCCAAATCAAATCAAATCATTTAAAATTAAATATTATGGAGTAGCTATATAGAGTAGAAAATATAAAATATGAATAAATACATGAAACTGATCATAAATATCCGCAATTGTAAAGTAATTCTTCTCTTAGAAAGAAAAAGGAGATCGTTATTTAATTTTGTTCATTATGAATTAAAAACTAATATCTTGATCAAAGTTTAATTTATAAATTTCCTATAATATATCCAATAAATGTATTAAATAATTTTCCATAAATAATCGATTTAATTAATACAATAGAAAGTATCTTTCTCTTCACGTTTCTTTTCAATCTTTGGCTCTCTGCAAATCAATTCCATCTCGTTCAGAGCTCATCCTCTATAAATAACTTCCTTTCTCTTCCAATCCTTTTGATTTCATTAGTAGAAGTGCTCTCCGGCAACTCGCAAATATAGTTGAAACGCACCGAGCAATCAGTTCCTTTATACACATATGATCGAAGTGCAGGATCATAAGCCAATCTCAGACATCTTCCTTCCCCATGTATATTTACTGATGGAAGTTCATTGGGTTTCAAATTCTCATCCTTTTTGTTCGTAATCACGGCCTTTGCGCTTCCGCTCCAAATCCATAAAAGTCCAGGATTCAAACCACCAGTCCAAAAGTCTTTACCTAAAATAACCATAAACATGTAACCAAATCGCCATAATTTATAAATATTATAGCTAACCTTGTAAATATGAATTGCTTTGAATATAAGCTACTATGTCTTGTTTTTCCTGCATGGTCTCCATCTCGACAAGAACTGCACCCAATTTATGGCAATGTTTATTCGCCGCCTTCCAATCCATTTCTCTTCCTGCATAACTGGCGAAATAGTAGCAATTCGATCCGGCTCTGGTGAAATTCGCGGCGCAAGGTTCTGGTAACAAAACACACATAAATAGAAAGTGATTAGTTAAATATTCTGTGTATGACAAATATATGAGATATGCATTACTTATTTCATAACTGGGTTTCTGTGTAAACAGTTTCACTTTTGCTTTCATTTTGTTAAATTTCGATAACAATTTTACCTAATATTATAACAAATCATTTAAACTATCTTTTTTTTAAAGTATGCAAAAATATAATTGTGTTAAAATATAACATTTTAACAAATATTTATAAAATAATATTTTGGTATATGGACGAAAAAAGTATTTTATTATACAATAAATTTTGTTTATTATTATTTAGTTTTTTTAGACAATAGAATTTTTTGTTAAATTTATGTAATTATTTATCTAATTTTATTATTTTTCAAATAGATCTTATTATTAATTGAACATGTGCCAAATAGATTTGAAAAACTATAAATGATCAAATTTCATGTTGTAAGATATCGAGTATATTTAATTCATCACCAGTACCTCGGGTAACCAGATTCGCCAATATTCCGCACTTTTCATAGCCTCCTTGACAATGTTAACAATTTTTGGGCGCGCAGTTTTCGGAAATATATAATTTTATTGTTTCTAGTATGTAATTCTATGATTATTGAAAAAAAATGATGTTAAATAAATAAATAAATAAATAAAATATAAAACATATTCATATTCATATAATCATAATAATAAAGACCTACTGACCATAGGTCTTTCCGCCCAAATATATTGTTACTATTATAATATTAACTGTTTTAATTAATATTCTTGTATATCGATAATGATAATATATAATTATTCAATTATTGAATTCAATTGAATTATAAAATTAAAAAGCTATAATATTCTGAACGTTGTTTATAGTTAATGTTATTTTAATTAATTAGATCAAAATACTTTTATGTAATGTAAGAATTTTTCAATAATCGATGATTTATAGAAGTTACCGGTCATATTTGACATATATTTATGTAATAATATAGAACATGCAAAAAAAATAGCACTACCTTGATCAATCCTGTTTCCAGCCATAACATAATACAGCATCTCTTCGACCCTCCTCAACCGTTTTTCCATGAAGTCCACTCTGTATACCAATTTCTCGATCGCCCCAAGCAGATATAAATCGGTTTCGGAAACTTGCTTTCCGGGCTGTTTCTTTTGCGGAACATTACTTGGTCGTGTCACGATCTTTCCTGGTGACACTTTTCCTTCCTTTCCTTCATCCACATATTTATCAGCTCGTTCGATAGTTATATATTGGGCCGGATAAGGAGTCGAGTATCTCAGGACGCGTTTCTCCCTTCACATTAATTTCAATTAATCTATGTCAATAGTAAAAATAAAAAAAATAATTATAACTTACCGATGACTGGTAAGTGCGTAGTCCTCCAGGATGGGACCCCAAACTTCGTCCTCCGTCCAAACTGCTGGATCATCGCGATTTTTCTTCTTCGGTTGAGTGACATTTGTGTTCGTAACGTATATAGAAAAGACATTATCGATGATGGCCAGTACCAGTATAAAAGCTAACAGTGTCTTCATGTTATCGTTGGCACGTATTGAACGCGACTGCTTTTACTTTTGGTGGCATTGTATTTGGAGAGAAGATGCAAATGGGTTTCACTCTCTCTTTGAACAAAAAAAAACGGACGCACTACAATCAACATTTAATCCCTACCAAAGAAACCATCCCAAAATTGATAAAAAAAAATAACGTTTTAACGTTTTCATTTCAAATCACATGATTATAGTAATTATTTATAATTTAAAGTAATCTGTAAAACTTGTAAACAACATTCTTTTTCAAAACATATCTACGCAGGAAGGAAGACCAATGAACTATGAAGACGTATTATGTCCCAGAAAATTCTGGAAATTCTATTTGGTTACTCAATTAACAAATTTATCTGTATCTCCCTGTATGTTCTATTTTATAAAATGCGGAAACAGCGTATTTTTTGTTCTAAATTCATTATAAATCTATTCTGTTATCATTACAATAAAAAATAATGCATAAAAGAGAAATATAAACTAATTTTAATAAATAATTTTTCTATTATTTTTTTTTTATATATATACGTTTTTTCTTTCATTAAAAAATGAAATATTATGTAATAATTATTATATATTTATAGTTTAGAAAACTAGTACATTTTATCTTATCTTGAGTAAAATGCAGTAGAGTTATTTTATTCTCCGTTCAAAGCCTACGTCATGAATTCAAGATCATTCGATGACTAAAAAGAAATTCCCAGCTGGAGGAGCATTTCACCGGTTAAGTGGGTCACGGTGTCAATAAACCGCGTCCGCGTGTAAAATCCGAGATGAAATTGTGATTTTGCAAGGAATTTAAGCACTTCTCGTTTGCTGTTTTCGCATGTCCAATTAGTAATCAATCCACTTCTACAAATTGACTAAACAAAGTTTTATAATTATATAAATAATTTAATCTTTACACTCCGACAATTTGGACAATATTCTCGATGCTCTCTGGGTAACGTAATGATATTTTATTAAAAAAACTAAAATATATGAAATAAAAATTAGATGAATAATTACGACAATTTATTAACTATGGCCTTCTTCATGTTAAAATAAAGACATACTTATACTTTACAATCATAGTTCATTTCAAAACTCCATTTATATGGGATATGTCCTTAGGCATATTATATTTATAGAATACTAAAAACAATATATACTATAGGTATATTATATTGGTTCTGGTTCACCAAAAGCCAGGTGCCTAGACACGGGCCTAATTCCATAATAGGTAACCCGCGACAGTAAATAAAATGAGTACTTTGTCTACATTTTCTTTTAAATGTCAATAATTCTGAAAAACTCATAAAATATTTAAAAAAAAGAAAACAATTATTCTAATCTATATGCCATAGATCAGCGGTCGGGGAACTTTTTTAACCATTACCCCAAAAAATTTTTGAAAAGAAAACAATCAATTAAAAAAAGTTACATGAAAATAGTAAGTATGTAATAGACAAACAAAATAAAATTCTTAAATTGGAACAAACAAAAATTAATTGAAAACTTTCCCCCTTCAGGTTTTGGAGAAATGA